CGCCGGACCCAGGAGAGCATGCAGCAGTACATTGTTCGCCGCGAGCAGGACTTCAAGAGATTGGAAGAAGTTTTGGATGGAGCCACCGTTCCTGCACACATTCGGGCGATGATGTTGCTCACCTTCGGCGGCCTGGACATGAAGGAGCAGCTCAATGTATTGAGCAGCGTCGGAAATGAGTACGACTTTAAGAAGATCGGCCACGCCTTGCGCATCCAGTACCCGAACTGCGCTGGCAAGCCGGTGTTCAGGAAGGACTACCTCGGAGCAGGCCGCTCCTCGGGCCCCACCTCGGCGATGAAGCCAAGGCTCAAGGGACACCCGAAGGGCAAGGGCCGTGGCTATATCCTCGCCGTGCAAGAGGATGACACCACGGATGACCCGGGGGACGCCAGCGAGGCCTACTTGGACGAGTTTGCGGACCCCGCTGAGGATGACGAGGCCTTCTTTGCGAACGACCTTCCCGAGGACCACGGCGAGCAGGACTTCACCGAGGATGATATTGCAGATGCCCTGGCTACCGTTATGCAGAACAAGAAGAGGAGCGCTCCCTCTTCCAAGGGCAACCCGGGCAAGACGCAGTCCTTTGGCTTCCGCGCACAGGGCGAGCTGAGCATCGACCAGAAGGCCCGCGAGAACCGGAAGCAAGCAGTGAAGTTCCTAAAGCAGGTGACGCCGTGCACCTCGTGCGGCCAGCGTGGTCATTGGCAAGGGGACGATGAATGTCCCAACAAGAAGCGTGGCAAGGGCACCCCCACTCCGAAGAGAAAAGGGGGATCTCCGAAGAAGAAGCCAGCCACCAACCTTTTCGTGCTCCACGAGGCCCTGGAGCAAGACTATGCCGAGGAGCCGGACGGCCAGTACTTCGTCGTCGGCGCGCCCCCCGGCAACGCGGACAACCTCCAGGCCGAGCGCAGCGAGCACCACACGAAGCACCACGAGCACTGTGAGCACCACACCTTCGAGCAATACCGCGAGCAGGCGCACGACCTACCCTTTGACAACCTCTTCGAGGCGCAGAGCACCCCCGACCACGAGGTCCTGATGACGCTCAAGACGGACATCTGCCACCACGCCGCGTATAACGGGGGCAAGGAGAAGAAGTTTCTACGTGCCGCGAACGGCCACACGAGGACCGTGCAGTGCAAGGAAGACGAATGCGGCAGGAGTGTCCTTTCTGCCAAGCGGAAGGAGCCCGTTGAGCTCTGGGGCTTCCTCGTGCAGATTGCCCTTTGCACCCTTTGGGGCTCCAAGGCGAGGTCGAGGGCGTTCTGGCAGCGCATCAGCACCGTGACCCTCGAGCACCAGGAGGAGAAGGACAAGAAGCAGCTGCTGGACATCCGGGTCCAGCTGAGCTCAGAAGGGCCACTCGGCGAACCGCCCAGCGGAAGGAGCTCGCCTTGGCAAGTTCTTAGCCCACCTGGGCGGCCCACTCAAGGCCCTATGTCCACACGGGCCACCGGGAGCGAGCAACCTGGACGGACCACCGAAGGCGGCTACCCCATGGCGAAGATCGTGCGGCCCGGTGCCGTTGGATTACCTACGTGGCTCTACGGCATCAAGGTCGGCCCGGGAGAAGCTTTGCCCGATTTTCCTATGCTTGGCGACTCCGACCGCGACATCTTGCACCCACTCCCGTGCGACATGGACCTGTGTGGCACCAGCACTCCCTTCTGCGGCGTGACCTTTGACCAACTCGGTTCCAAGGCCGAATATTCGTGGTATTGCCAGCAGGTTCTCACCTTTGCGCTGGAGAACCAGCCCATGCAGCCCGAGACCTACCGTCTGGCTTTCTACTTGTTCGGACGTGTTCGCCTAATACAGCAGGCCCTTGAGCGCGAGCACGGCACCTACGCAAGGCGAGGCGAAAAGAGGACGAGCCGGCCGTCTGATATGATAAGCACCAGGACCCTCCGAGTCCCCATCAGCACTGACCCCAATCGACCCGACATGGCTGCCGAGCACGATTGCGAGGTGATGGTGGTCACTCCGGCCGACTCTCCTGCTGCCCCGAGCCAGAGTTCCGACGAGTGGCAGCTCGTGGCGCCTGATGGCGCGCCCGAGGTCTACGTTACATGCAGCGAGGACCCCCCTGGGCTGGCGATCCTTGACTCCGGGTGCACCCGAACGATGCACGGGTCTACTTGGGCGGCCCGCTTTGAGGAGGCCCTGAAGGAGAAGGGTCTCGATTTCGAGACCATGGCGAGGACCCAGACTTTCCGAGCAGTCGGCGGCGAGATCCGGAGCACAACAGCGAAGGTGTACCCCATTGGCATCGACAAGGTGCACGGGAAGATGTTCAGCGCCGAGGCTCCCGGGTCCCTCCCCCTTCGAAGTCTCCAGACCTTTTATGCAGGAGCTGGGCACGGTTATGGACATCGGGCGCGGTGTCGTGAGCTTCAACGCGATTGGCGTGAAGGACCTGCCCCTGGTCAAGACCAAGAAGGGACACCTCGCGGTCAACCTGCTGGATTTCAACCCAGACCAGCTTACAGACTTTAACGCGATCCAGCACGGTCCCGAGGACAATGACGACGGCAAGCAGGAGCCCACCGAGGAGGACATGGCCGATTACCTTCAATACCACGGCTATCCAGAGGAGCATGGCGTTCCTGAGGGGTGGAATCCCGACGATTGGTCGGATTACCGGGACGAGCTGGACTTTATGAGGCGCGACGTGGAAGGCTATGAGCGCTTCCTTGCGGAACTTGGCCCCGACCACGGGCCGAACCTCTCCGAGGGTGACGTCACCGAGGACACCAGCTACTTTCAAGAGGCCATTGCCACTCACCCGGCGCACAAGCGGCGAGCAACAACGAGGAAGAGCAAGAAGCTTTTCGCCCTTTCCCAAGCTCTGGATGGTGATGATTGGCAGCGGCGACAGGTGTTGCGCGGAGAACCCGGGCGACCGAAGGGGCCACCGTACGGCAAGACATGGCTTAAGCAGCTCTTTGCCTGCCAGCTCGGTTTTTCCCTCGCCTTGGCGACCCTCGGCATGATCATTGGCACGCCCCTCTCCTACCACGACGGCGGCTGGGATCCGACAACAAAGCCCGGACGGAAGCAGTTGGCACAAGATCTCAAGGCCGAGGACCCGTATGTTCTTGTTGTTGGTGACCCCGGCGAGGCCTTTCATGACTTCAAGATCGTGGGTTTAGACCTGAATCGGGCGGGCCTCCGCATATCCCTAGCCGATCTGGTGACAGAGCACAAGGAGAGGGTGCTGAAGACTATCGACAAGATTGTGGGCGACCGCGTGAAGAGCAACCGCCACGTGTTCATCCAGCAGCCACCCGGGCACGATTGGACAAACGAGCCCATCCTTGCCAACGTCGGCGGCATGATCAAGAGAGGTGAGCTTCTGCGACTTGAGCTTAGCGGGCAGTTGCTGGAGATCTCGGCCGGCACGGCCGACCAGACGCACACCTTCTTTACCACAATCCTTGTGGCTGAGGACAGTTTCTTGGCTTACGCGGCGGGAGCGACGCAGCCACACGGGCTCGGCAACGAAAGGCCACCGAAGCTCACCGAGATTTTCCTGGAGACTTTGGTCCAGCAAGCGGCTGTGGAGCACTATGCTGCTAACGGCGTGCAGGAAGCCTTCCCCACAGCAGTGCCACCGACACCCAAGAGACGTCGGCGAGCAAGACCTACGGCGCTTGAGGATGAATACTCTGCGCCGCCTGTGTATGTACGACCTGAGGCACCAGCTGTTCCCGTCGATGACGACCCGGCGCTTTCTTCTTTGCTTCCTTCCGGAGGAGACGATGCTGGAGCCCGAGCCCAACAAGTGCAACAGTTGGACCCCGTCCTCAACCAGACCGAGTCCCAAAGGCGAGCAAACTGGCTGCCCGTTGACCCCGAGCTGCGGAGGACAATCCGCCACCTCCACATCCAGTTCGGGCGTTGCACCAACGTGACCCTTCAGAGGATTCTGCGGAGGCAGGGTGCAAGGACAGAGGCGATACGAGCCTGCGACCATTTTGGCTGTGATGTTTGTGGAGATACCCTCCGGAGGCGGCGGCCAAAGGCGGTACGACTCCCCAACAAGTACGTGTTCAACGCCCACCTCATGCTCGACGTTTTCTATGCTAAGGACATAAGCGGCACCAACTACGCCTTCCTGAACATCGTCTGCGATGCCACGGGCTTTCAAGTGGTGACGTGTTTGGGAGAAGCGCAGGGTCCACCGGCCACCCGAGCGGTACTACGGCACTTCCTTGGTTCCTGGAGCTCGTGGGCCGGCCTTCCCGAAAGCCTACAAGTGGACCGCGGAAAGGAGTATCTCGCTCTTTTCTCAGATTACCTCAAACAGTTCGGTGTTGAACAAGAGGTGATGCCGCTCGAAGCTCCCTGGAAAAACGGGCGAGTCGAACGAGCAGGTGGACTGTGGAAAGAGATTTTTGCCAAGACAGTCCTGGAGATGGAGGTGAACGGCCTGGACGATGTACAGACCACAGCAGCCGTGGTCACACAGGTGAGGAACTCACACCCCAGGACCTCAGGTTACTCTCCGGTGCAATGGGTCCTGGGCATTCCTGAGCTCCGTGTTCCGGGCAGCCTGCTCGCCGATCCTGAGCGCGAGCGTTTGGAGGTGATGGAAAGCGCAGAGGATCCTAGTAGTGCAATGTCTCGCACCCTAGGACTGCGCGAGGCCGCGAAGGTGGCGACGATCCGAATGGATTCCGATAGCCGTGTTCGCCGAGCACTTTTGCGGAAGTCAACACCAACTCGTGGCCCCTACCCTGTCGGTTCCTACGTCTACTTCTATAGGGCTCAGGCACAGCCCGGGACTTCGCGAACCTACCGTTGGCACGGGCCGGCAAGAGTGATAGGAGTTGAGGTCAGGAACCAGCGGCGACAACAAGACCCTGAACCACCGACCGACGGCGGCCAACCTCACACCTATTGGCTACGCTACGGGGCCACGGTGGTGCTGGTTACCGGGGAGCAGCTTCGCTTTGCTTCCGAGGACGAGCTTCTGGCTGCACACATGGTTCCGCAAGAGGCCTTGGAGCCTCCTTATGCACGCGGGGCAAGGAACTATGTGGATATGAGACCGGCTCTGGGGACTATACCACCCCCTTTGGAGCAGGAAGAGGAGAGGCCACCGCCAAACTCGTTGTCAACTCCCTCTGTGGTCGTGCCTGGCACGAACATATCTGTGCTACCTCAAGTACTACCACCGATCATAGAAGGCACGAACGAGGGCGGATCTTTGGACAATATTGGCGCGGCCGGTGACAATGCAGTCCCTCGAGATCCTCAGCAAGACCAAAGGACGGGAGGCCCCGAGATGGAACAACAGGTTCCAGTGAACAATGGTGACGATGCAGTCCATCGAGATCCTGAGCAAGACCAAAGGACGGGAGGCCCTGGTACAGTCGTAGACCAGAACATGTCACGCAGGTCATCGGAGGCCATTACAGAACCAGAGCCGTACCCTACACCGTCTTTTCGCCCCGCTGAAGCACCTCAAGCACAACTTCCACCACAGCCTGCCGTACCTGATCAAGGCACCGCTGCTTACAGACCCGTGAGGCAACCGCTTTTGCGACAGCAGCGTGGGCAGGACCAGGCTGGACCCTATGCCGCAGAGGAGGCAGACTGTTTAGGCGACGCTGGCTCTATGTGGGACGACGCAGACCTACCTGAGGTCGTCCGTGCCGCCAACCTGAAGCGCATGGTCAAGGACTATGGCGACTGCCCCGATGGGATCCTTGAGGGCGATTTCTTCGGAGGCACAAGTTCTGAAGAAGGCGACCCGGACACCCTGCCAGTGGAAAGCCCCGCCGACGTTCTCCTTACGGGCAAGGCGGTGAAGTCTGAGGTGAAGCTCAAGGAGTTGAGCCAAGGTGACCGAGAGAAGTTCGACGCTTCGATGGCAAAGGAATGGGCTTCGTGGCAGAAGTTCGGTGCAGTGGAGAAGCTCACTGACGAGCAGATCAAGCAGCTCCCGCCGGACACACAGATTATCGGAACCAGGTGGGTGCACACCGATAAGAATGCCAAGCCCCGACTCCTTGCCACCTACCTCTCGAAGAGGACCGGAAAGAGCAAGGCACAGATCGAGAAGGAGTTTCCCTTCGAGGCGAAGAGTCGACTTGTGGTACAAGGCTGCCAAGAGAACCCACAGGACATCAGGTCGGACAGCCCCACCGCAAGCCTCCTGGCCTTCAACCTCGTCTGCGCCATCGCTGTGATGAAGAACTGGTTGGTCACCGCTTGCGACGCTTCGACGGCCTATCTCCAATCCCAGGGGATCAGTCGTCTGCTGATTCTTCGACCTCCGAGACCACCACCACCAGGCATCGACATCCACGACCTCCTCCGCGCAAAAGGGTCGATCTATGGAACAAAAGACGCCGGTCGCTCCTGGTGGAAGAAGCTCTTCAAGACGCTTAAGAAGCATGGCTGGATGATGTCGAAGATCGAAGCCGCGCTCTTTATCCTCTCCAAGGGCGGCTCACTGTTGGGTGTCCTGATTACCCACGTCGACGACCTCTTCAGTGCCGGAGAAGGCCCCGAATACGAGGCCACAATCAAGGAGATGGAGGTCGAGCTGCACCTTAAGGTGAAGAAGGGCGAGTTCCGGTTTTGCGGTAAGAACGTGGTACAGAAGCAGGGCTACATCGAGCTCGACCAGTTCGATGCCATTGAGGGCATCGAGTATATGGCCCTTAGCGCAGACCGCCGCAAACAGCTGGGCTCACCCTTGAGTGAGTCGGAGAAATCAGCCTTTCGCGGGCTGATTGGTCAGATGGGCTGGGTTTGCCGCCAGAGCCGACCGGACATCATGGTCAACGTCAGCTTGGCCTCCCAGACCATGGGCAACCCCACCATCAAGGATGTCGTCAACCTGAACAAGGCAGTGAAGATGCTAAAGGAGACATCCGATGCAACGTGGAGGTTCTGCCAGTCTGACTTAACCTTGGAGGACGCCGTTGTCTTCTGCTTCGCCGACAGCAGCTTCTCGAACGGCCCTGGCATGAAGTCCCAGTGTGGATACGTGATCGGGTTTACCTCGGGCGAGATCACCAAGGGAAAGACCACACCCCTCTACATCCTGGAGACCTACTCGGGCGGGATCAAGCGAGTGTGTCGGAGCACCTTGGCGGCCGAGGCAAATGGATTCCTGATGGGGGTGGAGGCGGCCGAGTACCTCCGGAGCATCCTCATGGAGATCCTGCACCCCGACATCCTGCTGCGGGACCTGGAGTCGGAGTTCCTCAAGAGCAAGATCGCCTGCTTTACGGACGCCAAGAGCTTGGAACAGACTCTGAACAAGGACGCTGGGCAGCCCCAGGACAAGCGTGTCAGGATCTTGGTGGCTCAGATAAAGGAGATACTGGGCGGCCCAGACTACGAGAACGATGCCAGTGCCTACGCTATTTGGGTGGATACTTCGCAGATGCTTGCGGATGTGCTTACGAAAGCCGGCTGTGAACGCGAAGCCCTACTGAGTGCTCTGCGCGAGGGCTGTTGGACCTTAGAGCCTACGGAGTCAGCTAAACAGAAGAAGCTGATGATCAGGGCCGGCAGGCACGCGCGCAAGGCAGCGTCCAAGACAAGGACGGGTGAAAATCCACCAGCCTAGCATGAGCGCAGTGCGTAGGCATGTCGGAGAGAGCAGTACAGCTTAACCGCGGTGTCTTGGATCGAAGGGCGCCCTTGTGGTGAAAAGTGGGCACTATCGTTGTGCAGTGCCTGCTGCACTTCTTTGACATAACTACATACATACATACATACATACATACATACATACATACATACACCCATACATACATACATACATACATACATACATACATACATACATATATATGTAAACACACACACACACACGTGCATGCCAATGTTGTAGTACCTGCATAGCAGGTAGCTGCTGGCCAATGTTAAGAATTTTCACGGGTTTTCCAAGACTAGGACATATCAGGTTCAGCGGGAATGACCTAGCAGCCGAAGAGCAAGACTGAGAATAGGCCACGTCACTTTGCACCTACTGTCGGAACTCCGGCATGCGTGATACCTATTGCAACGACCCGTAAGCCAGAACTGGTCATGTCAGGACATGCCCATGTCATGTTGGCCAGAGGAACTCTCGCATCCAGTTGGTCGATCATCGCGACAGGCCGCAGGACACCCGTGTTCTCTGGAGATCACATCAGTATAGCTGTACAGGGTTCAGGGCTTCAGGCTATAATGAAGTAAATGCGGTCGGGTTTCTTATTATGCCGGCGGATCTGGGGTGTATAAGGCTCAGGTATAGGGTTCATAACTCTTGCCACAAGTTTGCATCGCATCGTGCAACAGGTTTTGCCGGTTTTGGACAGTTTATCCGTGTTTATAGGTATCATATTCATTGGGCCACGAGCTCGTAGCGCATGGTGCAACAAGGGAAACTTTGGTTGTCTGGAGAGACGAACAATCATGACGATAGTCATACAATTCCAAAATGCTGGATCTCTTCCAAATCGCTGAAGGCAATTCGATCAGGTTGAAGGCTATGGGCTCCTGATGAACCATGAAAGGCGGACGATTTTGGAGTTCAATCTGTCATGGCTTTGCTGCTAGGGCTGTGGATATGTAGAGGCATTCTAGAGCCTTCACGCAGCAGCGCTGCAGGACAAAGGAAAGTTGGGAAAAACCATGCAGTGGCACCTCGGCGATCATCGCGCAGCCATGCATTTAGCATGCCGGGAACGACACGCATGCACAAATTTTGTTGAGGCAGTTCCTGCATCGCATCCGCATCTGGCAAAAAAAAACTGATACAGTAAATCAGGCTTCCAAAGGCTAATTGTGTGACCTTGGGTTAAGAAAGGAAAAGCTCATCTGAAGCCCAAGGCCGGAGCTGCATGGGATGTAGCCTCAGTAACTTCAACAATATAAGTGTGTGTGTATATATATATATACAAATTTTCCATGTTTAAAATGTTAAAAAGATGTGTATATATATATATACACATCTTTATTTATTTACAAATATATTTGTACTTCAGAATTGATATTGGCAAAGGTGTTGCATACTGGAGTGCTGAGTTGCAGGATCGACACCCAGTCTCTCAGTTTTCACCCACTCCTCGCTTCTGTGTAGGACTTGTGGTATTTTTGTCATGGTGGCACTGCTTCCATGACATCCTGCGCTTGCTGGCATCCGAAAAGTACAAAGCAACTCCGGAAAGCCCCAGTCCTTTCCACATACGATATGATGCGAGCCCAGGTGGTCCAGACCCGAGTCCTGACAACAGCCTTGTCCGAGGTATGGCAGCATGATGAGATGGAAAGTCCGACTGGATGATGGTATCCCGGCAAGTGGTGTTCAATTGATTTCAAGAAATACTACCACTACTACTACCGCTACTACGACTACTACGACTACGACTACGACTACGACTACGACTACAACTACGACGACTACTGCTGCCACCACTACTACTACTACTACTACTACTACTACTTCTACTACTACTACTACTACTACTATACTACTCATGCTGCTGCTGCTGCTGGTGCTGCTCCTGCTGGTGCTGCTACTGCTATTGCTACCACCACCACCTCTGCTACTGTGATCATGTGTTGTGTCGACATCGTAATCAGTGGTCGCACCAGCCTCTCGCGACTCGAAAACCCCAAGCCCCAAAGCTTAAACCCTCAGAACTCCTCAGAACCTTTGAAAGACACAGATTCAGCGAAACTCAAAAAGCCCTAAGGCCTGGATCCTCAACTCTAAGTTACTCTAAAGACTCTTGCGCAGGCACGGTCCTCATGTGCCGCAGCACGGACCTATGCCTGTGCGATGTGCCATTGCCTCTGGTGTTCGCGGTGGGGGACCGCGGAGTAGTGGTCATTGCAGCATTTCAATGTCTGCGGAGAATACTTCAACATGAGCCACTGGGTGACGAGTCGTGCCTGGACATGATTGTATATGCTTGGCGACGAACGAGCACATTCATAAAACATTGGCAAGAAAAATGTGGATGTAGGCAGACTCATACTGGCTTAGCCTGCACTTAGTCTTGCGTCCAGCTGCGATCGAAGTTTTGTTGCATTGTCCTCCTGCTTGACCTTGATATCGCAACACAAGTTCCAGTATAGCAAATACCGTGCTTTCTCATGAAGTGCTTTCATCGCCTTATCATCTTATCTCCATTCCGGATCACTTTCTGTGTCTTGAAAGTAGATCTGCAGGAGTTGGTCCACTCTGATGAGCTGGGAGCGAAGGCACACGGGCAGTCTCTGACCGAAGCTTGAGGAATTCCAAGCCTACCAAAGCCCGTTTCTTGTTTGTAGCTCGACATGTGCATAATCATCGCGAGCGGGGATTCTTCCGGGAAGTGAGATGCTCTCTTCTAGCAGTTCTAGCAGAGGCCAGAGTTTTCCGACCAGTGCTGCTGTACGTTTTGCGGTTGGGTTGTTTCCTGTTGTTTGTTTGCTGGTGGCAGTGATGTTGTGATTGTAGTTGTGGTTGTGGTGATCGTCGACGTGGCCGTTGTGGTTGTGGTTTGTTGTTGTTGTTGTTGCTGCTGCTGGTGTCGTTGTTGTTGTTGTTGTTGGTGGTGTTGGTGTTGGTGTTGGTGTTGTTGTTGTTGTTGGCGGCGGCGGGGGTGGTGGTGGTGGTGGTGGTGGTGGTGGTGGTGGTGGAGTAGCACTCGTGGTATCCTGCCCGGAAGCAAACCTAGGGCTTACCACAGCTTACTGCGGGTGTCACTACCATGATTACGTCAAGCTTCTATCAACGACCTCAGTGCTGTTTTGTCCGCTTCTGTCATTCTGACTCCCAGTGTTTGTGACATTGACCTACTCTTTTTTGCTGTTTGTCCTGGAGGCGAGAGTCAGGCACTCTTTCCTCGTGCTACCCCCAAGCTCTTTTGTCATTTCTGCATAGGAGCTTGCCCCTAGTGTGAACTCTCGACCTCTTTTCTTTTACTGTCATGGTCTGGCGGTCTGGCTAGGGTACTGCAGTTGAGGCAAGACAACGTGAGCCTAGGCTATCGAAGCTTCCTCCTGCAAAGTCAGCATTTGGTGTTCCCACCTCGACCGGAATATGGAATCAAGGGCGTCGTCTGCACCACACCAGCTGCGGGCTCCCCTCAGATGGCACCGGGCCCAGCTTGGCTCATGTAGGGTTTGAGGTGTCTAGGCTTGTGATTGCTTTTCTGCAAAATGGCCATCGACAAAAGTCTCCTTCGTCCTTCACGAATGACATCTTTGGTGGTCATGCCCCATTTTTCGTGTATCGCGGCTTGGTCTTGAAGGTCGATGCATTTCTTCTCGTTTGGAAACTGCATCTCTTGGCGATGTGACTGTGAGTTACGTTTCTCTGACGAGGCGGCTTGCGTTTGAGGGTTTTCGATGCCTTCCAGGGAGGTCTCTTTATAAGGAGGGTGGCTAGTGCGCTTGTGCTGCCTGCCCGATACTGCCATAGCCCAAGCTTGCGGCCGTCTCCTGTTCCCGTCCGGTATGCCTCCAGCTTTCCTCTGTGTATCAAGGCTTCCTGTGCGTACCAGTCTTGATATGAGTAGAGGTACCACATTGCTCATGGACCAATTGGATCAGCGACCCTTGCACATCCCACCCACACTTCTAAGCAGATTAAGCGGCCTTAGCCAGGGCCACGAGACCCAAGTTGCGAGACATCAAGGTTATAATATATATGGGCAGCGCTCTAAATACCCTGTCGCGAAGTTTATACAAAAGGACCTATTTGGTTGCTGGGGTCTAGATTTGTATGTTCAACAAGAGGCGTCACGCAACTAGGGCTCGTTAA